TGGCGTGAAGCCAACAACGTCCAATCATGGAGCTAGCGTTGGTGAAGCCCCCGAAGTAGCTTGATTGTGAAGAATGCAGAAAAAGGTTGCATGATTGGTTTTGTCGAGTATGCAAAGCGGTGTTGGATTAGGGCCGACAGGACAAAGCGGAAGAGCAACAATGCAAGTATGCAAGAGAGCCGGAACCCTATCCTACGAAAGCTACCTGCAATAACGTACTAATCCCCACCATTATTGTCTCGCCAAAAGTTGTATACATGCATATCCGATGCCGGCCGGATCGGATAGCAGCAGCATATACAGTATTCCATCCTGCGTCGGTAGAGAACTGTAATTATTCATCCATCCAGGCATCCAGCATGCTCCTCCTTGTCGTTCTTGCGCACATCTGGACACCTTCCCTTTAATTTGCTTGGCTTGGCTGTCTCGGAGGAGCTGAAAAACACGACACTCACCACAAGTGACAAGTCACAAGTGCGCGCCCATACGGCCATGCCCCTGCAGAAGTGCAGAGGTGCAGAATCAAATCAACCAGGGCCTCACTGCCCGGCGCGTGAGGCCAATAGGCCATGCAATGCAATGCACCCTGCCTTGTGCCTTGGCTGCTCTGGGCTCCGAGTAGATCACACGTCGCCTGCGTTGCCTGACCTGATGCAGCAGGTGTGTTACTGCACATGACGAGCGCGGTTTATTTGTCCTGAGGCCTGAGGGGTCGAGTGAAGCCAGCCAAGGCCCAAGGGTGGTCCGCGCCACATGCAAGTGGAAAGGGTTGAGTCACGGCCTAGTCGCCATTAGTGCAGTGCAGTGCAGAGACAAAAACTGAGAGGTCCCTCTCCCTCAGGCGTTGAGGTAACAGTGTAACACTACTAATGCGATGGGAGAAGGCTAGCTAGCAGTCCCCGAAAGGTCACCATCGTGATTCGCGAACCACGAATATAAGAGGGCGATCTGCACGCCTTCACGTTTAGTAAATCGTAGAAATATAGAGTGAGGAATATTTTGAGCCATCCAGACCAGCAGGCAAAAAAATATCCAGTGGTCGATGTCGGCCAATTTTTGACGCAAGTACTACGCTAGTGTTCACCTCACCCCACACCACACAAGCGTGGCTGCGTGGGGTGCTGAGTCACAACACAACTCACAGGCAGTAGTTTCAGTGACGCGACATGCATGACAACAAAGGATAAAGATACGTACTACACTGTAATGTTAATCGACCGTGCTGTGCTTGCGCATGCAGGCCCACAGGAAGGATTTGTTTATCGTGCTTCGGCTCGTCCGGTTCTGGATTCTGGTGGACAGTGGAATAGCTAGGAAATGATCAAGCCCTTGTTTAGTTAACAGAATCCAAATTTTGGCACTATATAAAAAGAAGATTCTCCGTCACATCAAACTTACAGATACGACATAGAAAGATTAAATGTTGACGAAAATCAAAACTAATTACACAGCTTTTGGTTGTGTTTTTTGAGGTATTTAACGTTTTGAGTCTAATTAGTCAATGATTGAACAATTATTACCAAATACAAACAAAATACTCGCTACATTGCCGAAACAGTGGCTGAGAATTCCGGCGGCGCCGATTCTGCGACGAACTAAACGCGGCCCAAATGGAAATGAATGACTATGCGGACTACCTAGACTCCTAGATCCTAGTAGGAGTAGTAGGCTAGCATTCGCTGAGCAGAAAATTTTAAGGCAATCGAGGTCGTCGCTCGCGGTCGCGGCAGGCGCCACCCCGGCCCCGGCCCCGCCCGTGCACGTGCGCGACAAATCCCTGGCGCGCTAGTCGTTCGAGGAGGCCCTTCCTTGGCCATTTCGGCGAGGGGCGCCGTCAGCCGGGTGCTCTAACAGTTTTATTTCGGTCTTATTTAGATTATAAATTTTTTTACTTTTTTTTATTATATTAAATTTTTGACACATATATAGAGTATTAAATATATATAAAAAAATAATTAATTATACAGTTTAATTATAAATTACGAGATAAATCTTTTAAATCTAGTTAGACCATAATTAAACAATAATTATCAAATACAAACAAAAATACTACACGTGTCAATGCTGAATCCTAACCTCTGTCTAAACGAGCCTTCGGCTAGCTCCTCCTCCGAAGCTCCTCCATTTCGGCCGCGATCTCTCCCCTCGGCCTCCAGCCCTCCCTACGACGCACACGCACGGCGACAAATCTCTGGCCTCTGGGATGGGATGGGATGGGACGGGTCCACGGCACGAATCCGGCCGGGCCTGGGGAGCCACGAGATTGATTCGCTCCTCTGATCGCGGGCCGCCCAGGAGGGGCCCGCCGTCCTACGGGCGGCAGAGGCTGCACCGCTTGCAGGTTGCAGCTGCCTCGGGAACGGCCGAGCACGTGAGGCGCAGCAAGCAGCTCAGGCTCGCTGCTCCGGGCACCGGTTATTGCTGCCTGCCGCGACTGCGCGCACGCCGACATGACACGGTCTCGCGCGGATCCCTAGCCCGAATCCCGATTTCCCGATCAACACCGAAGTCTCCCCCACTCAAACCCACGGCGGACAAGAGCGCTCATGTGAGGCCAGAGGCAAAGGCAACGGCCGATGCGTTTCCTTTTGCATTGGGCGCGAACGAACGACGCGCCAACCGTCAGCCGAGGGCTCACGACACCGCCACACGGGGGCACGTGGACCAGCAAGAGGCAACGGCGGGATGGCCGGTGCACTGCTGCTGACTGCTGTAACGTGCGCCCTGCGCCGGCCGGTCCATGCATGATGCGTGTTCCGTTCGGCTCGCCGTTGTGCTTGTACCGTGTAGCTGTTGCCGCCTGCCGGTGCAGTCCTTCTGTGCCGTAAGGGAGCAGAGGGCCCTCGCACCACGTTTCTTTGCTTTTTGCTGAATTGTAAGCTATTTTTATTTTTCTAGATACATTATTTTTGCTATATTATATCTAGATATACTCTCCAAAGCCTAAATAAACTTATTATGAAAGTACACTTTATGATATATATAATGGTGCTTATTACATAACATAAATATTAATATTCTTTTGTATATATTTGGTCAAACAGAAAAAGATTTGACTCCTTGATAAGTGATAAGTGCATTTATTTTAGGACGGAGGGAGTATAGTACTCTCCTCATTTTAAATTATAAGATATTTTGGCTTTTATAGATATATTATTTTTACTATACATCTAGACGTGTATACCTAAGTATATAACAAAAATTATATATCTAAAAAAGTCAAACCGTCTTACAATTTGGAATAGATTGACTAAAAGCTACGTATCTAGAAAAACTAAAATAACTTACAATTTGAAACAAATAGAGTAGTATATAGATCATTTAAGTCCTTCTTCATATGCCAACACTCTCGAAGTGTTGTGGTCTCTTCCAGTCGCGAAGGCCACCCACCCGGGTTCGATTCCCAGTCTTAGGATTGTCCGAGTGTGGCACTGAGGTCTTCCCCCAAGGGAACCGAAGTAGTGTGTGTACTCGATGGACGTGTTTTGAGATCTCTCTGGCAGACTCACTTGTATTTGAGCGTGTTATCGGTATAGGTGTCCATACGAGTCTTATATGATATACCATGCTCCTAGCGGTGTTTCAAAAAAAAAGAGTTTCTTCCCATGGACAGTTTGGTATATACATACCTCTTTTAAATTGTAAGTCATTCTGATTTTTTAGATACATAGTTTTTAGAATGTATCTAGACATATGTAAGTTTTTATAATGTATCTAAACATATATATCTAGAGATACCTAACAAAAACCATGTATCTAGAAAAAAAAACTTATAATTTAAAATGGAGTAAGTATCGTCTTGCTTCTGGCTCTTCGCGGCAAGTGATTTAGAGAGAGAGAGAGAGAGAGAGAGAGAGAGAGAGAGAGAGAGAGAGAGAGAGGCAATGGCTATCTATGATAAACTCTATAGAAGAAATGGACTTGCACGCTCCAAGTCCCTTAGTTTATTTTAAATAATAACTTCACTAAGTCGGCCTACAATTATTACTTTGTATAAGATATTGTTTAGCATCTCCCCTAAAATCATACTCAAATTATGAAACTGGGTGAGTTTTTAAACAACATTTCACATTATACAAATGTGAGTACATATATACAGCCGTCGGTTGGACTGCTGTAGCAAAACAACAGAAGGGCTGCAGAGGCATGGCTTTGTCCAAATGAACTTTGGGCCATATTAGGCTGGAAAATCAAACCATTACATCCATCTGTTTCAGATATATCACTGAAACGTTGTGTGGCCTTCATTTGTTACTTCAAAGCATAAATGGTACAAATGAAGGTTCGAGACCAAGGTAACATGGGTCGCTATACAAATATGATTAATAAAGTAACATTATGCAATTTTATCTTCAAATTTGGCAATGCACGCGTTTCAACACATTGCAAATTGAATAGGTCAAACACCCAGGGTTAACATTGATCATTATTTCTCATGACAACTGTAATACAGTTTCTATGTTCAAGATTAACTAATTTACAACGTCGAGGAGCAAATGTTGCAGAAGCAGAAGGGATCAAGACAACCCCCGACACACCAAACTATCCTGAAACACATAGTTGTAAATTAAAAAGGTTTAACCTTATACACCTGCTTTATGCCAAAATTTTGTAGTCCAACAAGAGTGAGGGAGCAGCGCTAGTCATAAGAGAACCAACTACATAATCCATGATCGCTGCTTCAAATGAATGATCACACCCTGATGTCGCCACGCAACAAATGCTGACGCAATTTCACCGTAACTGTGATGGAAGATTTTTCTTTCACTGTCTACAAAATGGCAACAAAAAGGTACAGGCTGGAACCAAGACAATAACCAGACTGAAGACACCTCAGCTCCCAATCAATAATATACTCTTCAAATGTGATGTGCTGACAACTACTTGCACCAGAGCACTTTGTTCCCCTTGTTTGTGTACGCTTTGGTTAATTTGGTACTGGCTCCAGTTCTAAAATATGTTTTGTTCCAGTTGTAACCATCCAGCTGCTTGTTGATGCATTACCGAATGCTTAGGCTGCTCAAATCATCCACAATATGCACAGTCCCATTCAAACTGCCTTGTTCTCCCTCTTTTGATTTCAGCTGAAGGTTTGAAGCAATTCCATTTTCTGGTGAGCTCTCGAGACTATGGTCAACAGCATAGGCTGAAACAGCGCTCTTGATGCCTTCAAAGTACGTCGAGTAGGGAAAATATTCCGCACACCGTGCCTTCCACCCTGTTGAAAAAGTAGGGTTATTCCTGGTAATGTAAAAGGAACAAACATCTATAGGCACGCTTTATTAGTAGGTGCATGCCAAGAGCATCCAGCACCAGTATTGTGATGTACGAATTTGTTTAACATGCAATGCACTAATTAGGTCACCACACTAATGGTTGTAGCTACCGGAATAAATCCTCAAAGCATGCCATCATGCAATACTAGCCTAGTGACATAAGTATTCATGTAATGTGAAATTAAAATACCTAACACAGCAACAAAAGAAAAAGGAGAAAACCCTACCTCGTTTCTAGCAAAACAAAATCTTTCAAAAAAAATTCTAGCAAAACAATGTAGCATGTGACACAATACAGGTACAACAATTTTGAAACTTACTATTTGCAACATCCTGATCACCAAAGACTGTCTCCAGCAATTTATGAACATCAATACAATCTTGAATTTGCCATTCTTTTACAGGACCAAGCACACTATGCCTGAAAAAAAAACAAGAAATGTGAACACCCATACAATACAATGCAGCTGAGCAAATAGAGGCTCTTTTGTTCTTTACCCTGACGATGTAATATTTGTTGAATCTTCAATTAATTTAATTGCCTCCATCTTCTTATCTGGCTCCAAGAGATACATCATTTCAGCACCAGCTGCTCGATGCATCAAGGAAGCTGGCAAAGAGGTATCAAGAAAGAGTAAGATACCTGATCAGGACAATACCCACTAAGAGATAAGATTAGTTACCATTGTGTTTTTCAAGGAAACTTCTGTTTACTTCAACAAGGGACTTTCCATGTAATTGCCTGTAGGTCGTTGGTACTTGTTAGTCAGATAAATTGGTAATAAACACACAGTGATTGAGCAAGTGCCAACTTAGAACCTCATGTCAGGTCGTTCAGCTTCCAAAACATTCCAAATTAGCTTCTCTGAATCAGTCACTGGTCCAGGAAGTGTGTTTATCTTGTGGAAGAATTTTATCTGCAAAATAAAGATCAAATAAATAACAACACAATAAGATGATCAGATTTATCTTGAATTAATCAGGTGAAGTATTTAAAAAGTACCACTAATGTAGTATGCTGTCATACAACTACTAGCTCATTTTGATTCAGAGCTCTATCTTCCAACAACTATTAACACTAACCACTGTCGTAGCCTCTAATCACCATCACTATCACCTAACGAAATCAAAGTGGTGCAGTATTTGTGCGGTCAATGGTGTACAAGGCATTACATCAAAAATATACAAGCACAGTATGTCGCTCAGAAAGCATGTGAGATATTCTCTGAAAAAAAAAAAGTATCATAAGAAGCTCTGTAAATGTCAAAAGATGCCAACCAAAGTAGCCACAATTCTATATGAATTAAGTGCTATCACTAAGCAAGAAAGTACTAAAAATATATTTTCATGGCCCTAAATCCATAGACTCAAGAAACCATTAACTCGTAATGCAACAATTGACTCCGCATTAATTCTGAGTGGACAAATAGTGAACCATACAGCCTTTTCCCCACTGACTTCACCCAAACAAAAGAGAGAAAACTATCATCAGACTTCAGAATGCACCCGATGTGTGTGGTATGCAGCAATCCTAGTATGTATTGACCAAAAACAAACTCAAACCAAGGTACAACGCCATGAAGGCACACTGAAGAATAGCATTCAGTTTGTTCTTATCGAAGATACCATGGGCTCAAGGCAGAATTATCAGAACCATAAATTCATGAATTAAAAAAAACATAACTCATCTCAGTAGCTGTTAGGTCATTAGTGTACTGTAAGAAGAGAGAATTTATTACGACATGTCACATAATTCATGGAAACAAAGCTTAATGGAAGGTGTAGTTTTGAAACTTACCAAACAGCGGTGACTGTCTGGATTATCCTCATCCAATTTAATGAGCTGTTTAACTGCCTGAAATTATAGATGGATTACAAAAATTAAGGCCGGTGTACAACAGAAGGCAACAAACTAAGGGAATGTAGCGAGTTAAGTATAATAATACTAACCCGCATGCTTCCAACTAGATAAATTATCAGTATTATATTCATTAACATGCAATGCTCAGGGTATCCTTCTAGTTATTGTAGAAGATGATGCTCAGTGATTGGGGGAGCATTTAGGAAACAAATTCATATATAAAAAATAAGACCCATCAAGGGCGAACACCCATGTCCATGCGTATCTATCACAGTGACGACTCACTTCTGACATGTTTAGAAGAGTCCTACTGGCAGAGGGAGAGAAAAAGCTAATACATGAGAGAGAACGATGGGAGATAAAGCCTAGCATCTATGCACCAGAGAGAGATAAGTGTTTTGCTGCTTTTTTTTATCTTCACACAAGTTACTTTTCCATTGCACAAATTGCAGGTGTACAGCGTTTGCAACTTGTAGAGGACCCTTCCTTGCATACAACACTAAGAGGGATCTTCTGTAGCCACATACCATAGGTTTAGCTTATATATACTCACTCTGTTTTAAATTAGTAATTGTCATTCTGGCATTGTCCTAAGTCAAACATTTCTATCTTTGACCATCATTTCCTACAAGTTCGTACAGTTTAACAATATGCGAATTATATATTATGAAAGTATTTCTCATGATTAATCAAGAAACTTGAATCTTATGATAATAAACTATACGAGATGGTTAAAGAAAGAAAGGTTTGGTTTTGGACAAAGCTGGAAAGACACCTGCACCCATGTCGAATTCAGACTACTGCAGCCATGGCGCAGAAGCACTGCACAACACAACTTTTATCCAGGACTGACCTAGACCTATAATAGTAAAAAACTGTTGAATTCACCACCCACCTTGCTTCGCAATGAAACATGCAGTTTTCAGACTTTGCACATATCTAACACTTTCTTTATGCATATGAACTTCTTAAGAATGGTTTCGAATATTCAGTTTCAATTACATTGCTAGGATAGTAGGCAGCAAAGCTGGCAATTCTCTGTGATGTTGATACCAGCAAACTGTTAGCTTATAATTACAGATTTTTTTTCTCCAACTATAATTACAGAATTTCTTCATACCAGGAAACTGTTAGCTTATAATCATTATATTTATATTAAGAAGAAAAACGTATAACTACAGATAGCAGCGGTGTAACTAGCATCAATGAATTTACATAGATACATATGCCACAGCCTATCAGGATGTAAACAGAGTGGGGAAATCATAATGAAAGCGAGTAGAGTAGCCTAGGGCAAGTGATATTAGACAGAAATAACATACCTGGAAAGCAAGTAAAACTTTTTGCTTTCTCATGCTTAGCTCAAATGAAAGTATATGAGTCTCTAACGAGTCTGACGAGTTATTCTGCAGAAGCTTCAAGTATTTCGTAGCTTCTCCAAGCGGGTTTTCAATCTGCAAACAAGAAATTGCATAAACCAAGGTGGTAGAACTTCTAGCTAGCACAGATAACTTGCGACTTGTGAGTACCAAAACCCGATAAATATTACACAAAAATATAAGGCCATGCAGTGCACATAAATACCTGGATTAATTTTTCACCATGTGGATCCAGATCAACTGGTCTTGCATGTTGTTTCTTTCCAGATTTTGAACTGTTAGATAAAGCTGTTTCATCCTCTTGTTTCTCTTCAGCCTCCTGGAGGAATATGGGACAAAATCAGAAAACTAGGTAAACATTGATCCTATGTGAGTGTCTGAGATTACCCTTTTAGCACGCGCTTCTGCTTTCTTCTGCTTTTGCCTCAACTTCTTCCTCTGAGCAGGTGGCAGTTTTGACATCTCATCATTCTCTTCTGTAGAAGATTTTGTTGGAGAATCATGTAGTTTCATATAGCACCTGCAGTTTGTGCCAGCAGCATCACCAACTATCCTGGATAGAGGCACAAAATAATGAAAACAAAACACCAGAAGCAAACCATTACCTGATAGCTCCAGCAGCAGCCTTGTGGAAGTATTCATGAGCATGCAAACGATCTTGAAACTTCAGCATAGAAACATATGCTCTAAGTGTCATTTTCCGCAAGCAATACGAATGGAAGTCAAATTGATCTTCAGTCATATCAGCGTAATGCTTTTCAACTGCCAAGAAATTTTTTAGGGCCCGGCCAAGATCACCTTGACGGTAATAGCTCTCCCCAGAAGCAAGCTCATACCTTAAGTGATATATATCATGTAGTTAGATAGTGAGCATAAGAGATGGATAGCAGAGGGGAAAGAGCACATACCACATGCACTGCATGTCATGAAGATTATTGTGTTGATCACCATCTTTTGTAAACAAGACAGCAGTCTTCTCAGCAAGGTCAACCTTCATACATCACAAAAAAACAGCTAAGTGTAAAAGAGCTTGCAAGTATACGCCAATAAACTCCAGTGCTTTCTTATATTGGATAAATGCTAGAGTCTCCATATATTCCCTTTTCTTGAACCATTGGCATATCAAAATGGCCTCCAATACACACATTTGACAATAACCTTTTTAAAAAATGGAAAGACCTAGTGCCGGAGGCTCCCACATGAGTGGGGTCTGGGAAGGGAAAAACTGAGGCAAGCCTTCCTCCAGCAAAATCTGCTGAGGCTGCTTCGAACCCACGACCTGGTGACTCAGTGAGACAGCTCTCACCACTGCACCAGGCCTGCAAAAATATAATGGAAAAAAAGAATTATATGATTCATGGTGGCAAAGATACTTTTCCCACACGGCAAATCTAAATACTTCTATGCATATGAGTGGTCAAGTTAATAGGTTGACTGCAGTGCTCTGAAGCCACACTAAGTATAAAGGCCACAGAAAAGTGGTCTGTTCCTAATTAGCTACCTGGTCAGCCTGAAGCATCTGCATAACACACTCGCTGTTTAAATAACGATCAGCAAGATCCATGGACCTAGCTTCATCTGCTAATGCGGCTGCTGCTGTGAAATTTCCAGCATGTTGCAATATCTTCCCCTGGAATAAAAGTGTGAGTATTAGCAGAGTTATAAACAGCATGTGATTTAGATATTAGTATGATATAATCAATTGAAACCTTTAAACCAACATACAACAGAACAGACTGAGAACTCATAATGGTGCTGGCAAGATTAGATGGTGATGAAAAACAATGTTGGTTCATTACATGTATATAAATAAGAGATCACTTAAATTAACAAAAGACATTAGCTATATAGTAAAAAAAATACGCAACAAAACTACGTCTAAACAAAATGCATGTGCGTGCATTTGCGGGTGTGGGTGAATGTGAGTGAGAGAGACACCTTTACTGAATATAAATCGATGACAGTCGGTGTATGTGAGATAGCCTCATCGATTTTATTTAAAGCAATGTCATATTGCCCTCTTCTGTCATAGTGCTGCGTTAAACAATATGAGGAAACATGATTATTCAAGTTCATGATATGTTTCTATACAAAAATGAAAAGTTTATCACAAAACATGTAAAATGGCACAGCAAATGCAGACCTGAGAAATCAAAAACAGAGTCCACAACAGTGTGGAAGGAGGCTCCTTCTGTAGACTGCGAAGCAAGACAGTGAAAACCAATAGTAATCATTGGCAATAACTCAGTTACCTCGTTAGTTATAATGGCTGCCTTCTTGGCAATATATTTGTCACAGATTGTTAACAAGCACAATCTTGAAAAGTGGGGCAAACACTATCTAGTCACAGCTTGTTGCATTACAGCAAAATGCTGTTTCGCAATTCTGGTAAGATCAGGTGCCTATTGAAAGGTTGCATTACATGAAAGGCCCAGCGGAACGTGAATATTTTGCACAGTTCAACAAGTAAGATCAGGTGCCTATTGATGATTATGTATTTCGAGTTGGAAGCTCCAACACAGGGCATTTCATGTATTTATTTAGGGAGCATTGCCTCTCAGAAAACCATCTAGCCATCACCAAACAGAATCTGGTAAGGCATCAAGTACTCCATGCATTGCAAAATGACACAACAGGTTGGCTAACCAGCAATGAGTTGATAAACAAGTAAGAAACATGCATTCACAATAGTTGTCAGGCACTAAGGATTACCATCCAGGAAAGCATCCAGAAGTCCTAATTGAATCCTCTATTTTAAGAAATAACTGCTCCAGTATGTTTGCCTGTCAACAGGATTTAGAATTCGCATATGAAGTGGCATGCTGACTTACAACATGACCACTAAACGAAACAAAGCACAAAATAGTGTTACCTTGCCAGGATGTTCATACAGTGGGCTTAAATCAGAAAATAGTGAGGGCACACCCTGAGAAAAAAAAATGGGATGGATTACAATTGATTATACCAACCTAATGTTGAATGGTAAGGAAACAAAAATAAAAATAACCACAGATGAAATACCATATATGTAATATCTGCAAACTAAACTATCACTTACCTTTGTTAATAGAGGTCTGACATAGTTGTCTGCTGCCTCCTGGAACTTTTCATCTTCCAGAAAATCAAGAGGGATACGCTGTCGCACAGGGAAGATGCACAAATTAGATTCACAGATTCTCAAGTATATGCCCTGCTTACTACCAATACATGAAGGGAAAGTAGAGTTTAGTATAAAACCAGGCATGTCCATGTCAATGGTATTATTTTTGTCTCACTGGGAAGTTTAGTAGTGAATACAAGAAAAAAGAGTATGACAAAAAATATGAAGTCGCAATTTAACGTAGTTTATTAGTTTACCTTAACAGCAGATGACCAAGCATACTTCTCTTTAAGTGAGTTGTATAATGCACTTAAGCGCTCAACATCATCAGCAGAATATTGACCATTATCAGAGTATAGGCCAAGGCACTTTTGCACAGCAATGAAGTATCTGAGTGGAAACAGTGAGAATTTGAATTCATAAGAGTACCAAAAGGTAGGTTGTAAATATAATGCCAGTACAAGTACAAATAATGTTAAGCAAGGTACGCAGATGCATGTACTTTCATAGCACACAAGAAATCCACTCATATTTTCAAGATCAGATGTTGCTAATCCACAATTTGATATAATTACAAGACAGCATGGCTGTTCTTTGCCCGATGCCCATTCCTACTGGCTACTGGTAGTGGTAGAGGTAGATTAAGAACATCACTAGGCAAATCCAGTCCATGCGAACAATACACCTTCCATTCTCACTCTACTCAAGGAGTGCTAACGTCATTAGAGTGGATGACACCCCACGATACACAAAAAAGGAGCAACTACACATTTTGGTGCGTGCGCATACCATGATCCTGTGTAGGGAAGGTAGTGCAACATCAAGCAACATGTTGGAAACATCTAGATCATACTTAAGCCTCCCTCCTTGATTCAGCTTAAGATGTTAGCTAAGATATCATTTATCATGGTGGCTCCCCAAGGTTTCAATCAGACCAGAGTAGCCATGTGAGGGTGTGTACCCACTCATAATATATTGCCACCCCAAGTATGGCTGATATAAACCACATAAGTTCAACTGTTCAACACAAACTAGTAAGTTTATTTCCCACACATGGGCATCATGTAAGGAGGCAAACAATTCACTGCACAAATTTTCCTTGATCAAATTCAGAACAGTCAATTCAACATTTTGTCTATTCATTCATAGGTAGTATAGACAAAGGACACTAAACAGATTGAAGAAATTGCAATGCCTAAAACCATATATATATCAGAGTTGAGAAGAAGCATGACATTTAAAGGGAGTGGTTGGTCCATGGCCCCATGCCCTCAATCAATATTACCAATTTTTGTAATGCCTATATTTGGTTAGGCTATTTTTCTAGCTAATCCTAAGCCAACCGTGGGCTAACAAAACCTTATACAAAATTTTGCCTACCAAATGTTCTGGCAAGGTCAGTTGTAGCACAAACCAAACATTAGCAGCACAAGTTGTGTCAAATGTCAAAACCCATACACATTTACAGTGGACCAAAAATAAGGATGAACATATGCAAGTAAAAGGAGGCACGAGTAACTCACTTGTAGTTATCAGGATTCATAAAAAGCAGGGATCTGTATATGCTCTCAGATTCATCAAAGCGGCCAAGTTTGAACAGGACGGATGCCATTTGTTCTTTGAATGATAGCTTGTCAACCTGACATGAACAAGAACAAAACATGATTATTCAGACATCATCTTCAAAGATCCCCAACCACCACCACATACAAGCAACATAAAATGGAAGGATAGGACTCACAATTTTGCTTTCCTTCTTCTGCATCTCCTCAAGGGCTCTGTCTAGCATCCCACATTCTTCAAACAATGATATCTATTAAAAACAGGACAATAAGATTACATGAAATCATGACTGCAACATATATTCATATTATAGATGCAAAGTTAACAGCAGAATAATAGCAAGCCAAAGAAATGAACATGGTCATAATGTGTGAACCAATGCCATCGAAAATAGAAAATAATTAGGTACCACTTATTTGAGTATTTCATAACTCACACCACAAGCTTCACACACCATGGAAGGTTGATGTAGAGCAAATGAACAGAATACTACATGGTGAACATAAACAGACACCGAATGCTAAAAAGTAATACTAAACTAATATAATAAATAAACAAATCTAGATGGCATACAGTTAGAACAAAAAGAAATATTGCATCAAGCCATCAACAACATGCAAAACAAATGAGCACAAGTTTTCAATTAACATCTAGTAATACAAAATTGGCAATCAAATATTGTTTTACAGCGAAAGCCAAAGTACATATATAGAATAATAGAAGTGTCAGAAGAACATGAACCAATGCTACAACAACAACAACAACAACAACAACAACAAAGCCTTTTAAGTCCCAAACAAGTTGGGGTAGGCTAGAGTTGAAACCCAGCAGAAGCTATCAAGGTTCAGGCACGTGAATAGTTGTTTTCCAAGCACTCCTATCTAAGGCTAAGTCTTTGGGTATATTCCATCCTTTCAAGTCTCCTTTTATTGCCTCTACCCAAGTCAACTTCGGTCTTCCTCTGCCTCTCTTCACGTTACTATCCTGGCTTAGGATTCCACTACGCACCGGTGTCTCTAGAGGTCTCCGTTGGACATGTCCAAACCATCTCAACCGGTGTTGGACAAGCTTTTCTTCAATTGGTGCTACCCCTAATCTATCACGTATATCATCGTTCAGAACTCGATCCCTTCTTGTATGACCGCAAATCCAACGCAAACATACGCATTTCCGCGACACTTATCTCGCTGAACATGTCATCTTTTCAGTGGGCAACATTCGCACCATACAACATAGCAGGTCTAATCGTCGTCCTATAAAACTTGCCTTTTAGCTTCTGTGGTACCCTTTTGTCACATAGGACACCAGATGCTTGGCGCCACTTCATCCACCCTGCTTTGATTCTATGGCTAACATCTTCATCAATATCCCCGTCTCTCTGTAGCATTGATCCTAAATATCGAAAGGTATCCTTCCTAGGCACTACTTGACCTTCCAAACTAATATATTCCTCCTCCCAAGTAGTAGTGCCGAAGTCACATCTCATATACTCAGTTTTAGTTCTGCTGAGTCTAAAACCTTTGGACTCTAAAGTTTCCTGCCATAACTCCAGTTTCTGATTCACTCCTGTCCGGCTTTCATCAACTAGCACTACATCGTCCGCGAAAAGCATACACCAAGGGATGCCCCCTTGTATGTCCCTTGTAACCTCATCCATCACTAAGGCAAACAAATAAGGGCTCAAAGTTGACCCTTGATGTAGTCCTATCCTAATCGGGAAGTCATCCGTGTCTCCATCACTTGTTCGAACACTAGTCGCAACATTGTTGTACATGTCCTTAATGAGCCCGACGTACTTCGTTGGGACTTTATGTTTATCCAAAGCCCACCACATAACATTCCTTAGTAAATAACATTCCCACCACATAACATGAACCAATGCTAAATGTTTTTTTTTCTAATCCAATACTAACAAAAGAAACTGCAATCCTATTCAAGAAACACAAACCTTATACAGCAGCATTTCACTATGTTCATATCGCTCATTCTCTGGAGGATAATCATCTTCCAGTGTTCCCTCGTATGCCTCCAATACTTCTATTGCCTTGGAAGAACTGCAAGTGACAAGTCAGTATCAGAAACAAGTCAAACAACCACATTAAGTGATAATTTTTTTTCACACAATAAATGCTTTGTCTTAATCATAAGCGTTAGCATGATCATGAATAAATGAGCAAGTTAACTCTCCATCTGATATGAAAGAATACAAACAAAAAACATAAATGGTCAGGTTTGGATCATAGAATAAATATCTTCAGGCTGTACAGCTCAATTATAAGAAATAAGGTATATACAAGTGAGGTAGGGACATTTGTGCAAACCCTGGACTAATGGACCTTTAGGCTATCTACACACTTAGCAGAAAAGAACACCACCACCACCAACAACAACAACAACAACATAGCCTTTCAGTCCCAAGCGAGTTGGGGTAGGCTAGAGTTGAAACCCACCAAGAGCCCCAAGTCACGGTTCAGGCACTTCAATAATTGCTTTCCAAGTACTCCTATTCAAACATAGATCCCTAAGTATATCCCAAGCCTTCAAATCTCTTTTTATTGCCTCCCCCATGTCAATTTCGGTCTTCCTCTACCTCTCCTCATATTATTAGCTCGGCTTAGGACTCCACAATGCACTGGAGGTCTCCTTTGGACATGGCCAAACCACCTCAACCGATGTTGGACAAGCTTTTCTTCAATTGGTGCTACCTCTAGGCGATCACGTATATCATCATTCCGAACTTGGTCCATTCTTGTGTGACCACAAATCCATCGCAACATACACATTTCTGCAACACTCAGTTGTTGAACATGTCGAATCTTTGTAGGCCAACATTCTGCTCCATACAACATAGCCGGTCTAATCGCCGTTCTATAGAACTTGCCTTTTAGCTTTTGTAGTACCCTCTTGTCACAGAGAATGCCAAAAGCTTGTCGCCACTTGATCCACCCTGCTTTGATTCTATGGCTAACGTCCGCATCAATATCTCCATCCCTCTGTAGCATCAATCCCAGATACCGAAAGGTATCCTTCTTAGGCACTACTTGACCTTCTAAACTCACATCTCCCTCCTCCTGTACAACTCCACCAAAGTCGCATCTCATGTATTCGGTTTTAGTTCTGCTCAATCTAAAACCTTTAGACTCAAGGGTCTACCGCCATAACTCTAGTTTCCTATTTACTCCCACCTGGCTTTCGTCCACTAACACTACATCATCAGCAACAACACACACCAAGGGATATCCCCTTGTATGTTCCTGGTAACCTCACCTTTGAAAAAAATAAATATGCCAAAAAAATAAATAGACATATTATACAAAGTATGTTTTGCAATGATGACATGGAGCAATCAAATAATTGACATGATAAAGGAATCCATGAGCCAAGAAGACTATATCCAGCTTGCACTTTACACCCTGTACTACTTCAATTGCTTACAGTGCACACCCAACAATGTTTGGAATGAAGTTTGCTACTGGATTTTCACCATAGCATATATAGCACATAAAAATCAGTAGAGATCAAAGACATATTATGATAAATCATAAGATTGGTTCTAATCGACATCGATTAGAAAGTGGCATACTTAGAATTCAAATGATGAGCGACCGCAAAACCAATCCAGTTCATGCGGTGATTTGGCTTCAACGACAAAAGTTGTTGCCTAGTCTCAACAAAGCCAGACAAGTCCCTCATCTGTGCCTGTGTAAAAGATGAAAAATAAAATATTAGAGGGCAAATAAAATTCTGTTCTTAAAATAAGCCCTGAAGCCTAGATAAGCATTATACATTTTAGAAGGATGACAATGGTGAATTCAAACAGCAATCTGCAGTGGCCATTAACATAGTGATGCCAACACACATTACAAAATTCAGACAGCAGCTATTACGTACTCCCCCCATTCCAAATTATAAGACGTGTTGGCTTTTTTAGATACATTGTTTTTACTATGTATCTAGACATAGTGTATATCTAAGAGACTAGCAAAAAACTATGTATCTAGAAATACCAAAATGTCTTATAATTTGGAACAGAGGAAGTATTATCTTTCTTTAGCGTTATATGTTCGGCAATAAGATAATGAAACAAAATCATGTGCTTTGAGCGAAATAAAAATGAGGAAAATGCTTCGTGACCATTTCATGATAACAATGAGCTATGCACAGAACATTGAGTGAGTCATAGATGACTGGAATGTGGCACATTTTAGTTGGCAGCAGTTCATTGAGGTTACACTTAAGAAAACTATTGTGCCAAAAGAAATATAAATAAAAAACACTTGTTAATTTACACCAACCTGGAGAAGCGACAAGTCACGAAGAATTTCTATGTTATCTGGATCAATCCTCAATGCATTTCTGTAACATTTTATAGCTTCTCTGTATTCTCTATCTGACCGATAAAGCAAACCATAGACGTGCCAACAGACATGACTCTTCAGATCATTCTGCGAAAAGTTTAATGTGAGTTAGTTCTGAGTTCTGACACCTGTACCCATGTAATCATCACATCAACAACAGATAAAATTGATTGCACTAATTGAAAACCTTGAGGCCTCGTCGAACAAGCTCATATGCTTCAGATTTTCGGTCCATGCAGTTTAGCGTCAAACCTTTCATTGATAGTGTTTCTACATGAAACGAGACATAGAGGGATGTTACGAGTGGATACAACAGTATGAGGTAATAATAGAACCAGAACATATCTTTCAACATACCACCATGCTCTGGAAACTTTTTTAATATGGAATCTGCAGCCTTAAGCCCTTTCTTATATTGCTTAGTCTCATAGGATTTCTGTCGGCAAAAACATTAACACAAAGTTTTAGAGAGTTAAACATGAAGAGACAGCTACCATGCAACACAAGTCGCACTGATAATCTGATATTAAGAACAGAACATAGTGGACTAGCTTATATAGGCATCAAACAAAATTATAGGACATATCAAGAGTTTGAACAGTCGAACACATTTCATACATGCAGAAATTCTGCATGTTAACAACTGAAGAAGAACATAATGAATATCATCCTCGAATACCCAAAGTACTAAAGCACAACAAAGACTACAGTAAATCTCCAAAGCCATAACCACTTATTACCATCAGCACTGTGAAGCAGCTAGTCTAAAATTTTAGAACCAAGAGGCAACTTAGCGATTTTTTTTTTTTTTTAAAACTTCAACTTAGCTATTTTGATGCCATGCTAAAAGCTTAAAATCATGCCATCATGCTAAGATTTTGAGCCCATCCAGCCTATTTACAATGTGAACTAATAATGCTAGGATTTAATTATCCATGTCATAGCAAAGTTGTGTGCCATCTATCTACTAGGACGCCGAGATTAGAATCCACTTCTTAAAACAGCGCATATAGTATCAAAAAATCAATTCAGTTCAGGTCACTACTCACTACAATCAATCAATAAGGTCCTATAGGTGTGAGACAACATTAGTCACCAATAACTGTCAGTATGGAATCACTAAACAAGGTGACAGTCATGCACAGTTAAGCAAAGCTCATGGCTCAAGCTACAAACACTGTTTCCCGAGCTAACAGGCTCAGCTTGTTTATCACGAGGCACCCGTTCATCCAGTTACAACAAACCACAGCTTCATAGAGCAGACTCGAAAACCAGAGAAATCCATGCGTCTGGACACTCCTGGAGCATCTCGGATCGCCAGCATACCGAATCGAGCAGAACCGGACCACGAAGCAGGCAGATTCGAGGGGGGACCGGATCGTCTCGATTCTAGGAGGGTGGAGGCGAAGTGGAGCGGGGATGTGGGGTGCTTACGACGATGACTTTGAAGAGGTTGGCCTCCTTGGGCGGGAGCGAGGACCCCATGGCTACGACAGCGGCGGCGTGGCGCGGCGAGGCGCGGCGGCGCGAACCCTAGGGAGGGGCAAGGAAGGGGAAGGGTTTTGGAGTCGCAAGGCGGAGGGTGGGCTGTCAAGCCGTGCCGTGGTGTGCTGCAGACGTGCAGTGTAATGGGAGGCGTAGAGGCATGCGTGGTGGCGTGACCGCTTCGGCCGCAAGGACCCCCTACCCTCAGGGCCGGATTGGTCGCCCGAACCGAACCGCCCATCCTGTTTTTTTTTTATTATTTGTCTGTGTTGGGTTGTCTTACCTATATTTTTCTCATGTTTCCTCCCGTGTAGATTCGCTCCTCCATCCCGGACGGCACCGTCTTCTCGATCCCTACTTTTCTCTCGGTGCAGGCTCGTTCGGTGCTTGGCAGGAACCTTCGCGCCGAGTGTGGGAGATGAGGCCGTTCGGGCCATAAAAGCGCGCGCAGGGTCTCGGCTAGGGTTACCGTCCTCACTCTTCGCCTCTCCTTCCGCCATAGCTCCGGTGCGAACTCCCGTCTTGCTCCCCCTCGACCTCGGTAGCCCTACCGAGGCGATCCTCGCCGGCGAATTTCTCTCGGTCCTCCGGCGCTTGGACGGTATATATGCTACCTGCGTTTTTTCCCTCCTCTTTCTTCAGTGTCGATTTTATTGATTTATTGATGGATTTTGCTTGAAATGTCAAGAAATCAGGGCTCTTGGTTTGACATCCTCAGATCTGTACGATGTTATACCTGATTTACCTGTTCCTAACTCAGATCTGTACATGATGCTTTGTATTTGGTTTATACCTCATGTTTTGTGTAGATCTTGTACATGCTGATGCCTATTTTGTTGTACACACTGGGCAAAGTGTCTAGAGGTCAATGATGTTGATTGTGAGTATACGCTGGAGGAGCACCCTTTGGTGTGGCAGCCGCGTCTTTCATAGTTCATTTTGTCTGATTTTTTGCTTGCTAAGCAGTACACGCTCATGTTGCATGCTCCCTTTCTAATGTTGCCCTCCATCCTGTTGGTAGACGTGGCATTTGAAGCTAGGCGAAGGGCTGCCGCTGCTGTGGTTGTTGCAGTGGCTATTTGGTTTTTCATGTGGTTTAGGAGGAGAGTTGAAGATTCGCGCTCAGTCAACTATGGTCCCTTGGCTGAGAGGGACAAACAGAGGATGAGCAACCTTAGATACATCTATGAATCTGATGATGTGCACTGTGTCAACCTTCTTAGAATGAAGATGGCCCCTTTTTCTAACTTTGTGGCCTTTTTTGTAGTAGAGAGCTTGTCACTGACAGCATATATGCATCTGTTGAAGAACAAGTAGCCATGTTCTTGCATGTTGTTGGTCACAATGAGATGTTTAGGGTGGTTGGCCTCACCTTCAGGAGGTCCACACAGACAATTAGTAGGTTCTTTCAGAAGATGTTATATGCGGTAGGAGAGCTGAGGAATGAATTGATTGTCCCTCCTGCTACCAATGTCCATCCTAAGATCCTTGGGAGCAGAAGGTGGTACCCCTATTTCAAGGTTGGTATCCATAACTTGTCATACATAGGTCTCATGCATTATCAGTTTAGTGTCAATGTTCACTTGCACTTATGTTTTGTTCAATTAGGACTATATAGGAGCAATTGATGGTACTCATGTATTAGCTAGAGTGCCTGTGAAGATGCAAGCTGCCTTTAGAGGCAGGAAGCACACCATCACAAAAAATGTGTTGGCAGCCGTGGACTTTGACCTCAAATTCACCTATGTGCTTGCTGGTTAGGAGAGATCTGCACATGATGCTCTTATCTTGTCTGATGCTCTTAAAAGAGCTGATGGCCTTAGAGTGCCATCAGGTATCATCCAAACCACAAAAAACATTTGACACTTTGCTTAATCCTAAATGAAACTACTAAAACATATTTCTATCTGCTAATTTTTAGGTAAATTATATCTTGTCGATGTTGGCTATACAGTGAGGCCTAGTTTCTTGCCACCATTTCGTGCCACAAGGTACCATTTGAGGGAGTTTGGTTCAAACCGACCTCAAAATCAAAGAGAACTTTTTAATCTAAGGCATTCATCTCTTAGAGTAACAGTTGAAAGGGCTTTTGGGGCTCTAAAGAATAGATTTAGGATATTGGACAACAAACATTTCCACCCATACAAGACCCAAGTTAAGTTTGTTCTTGCATGTTGTATTCTTCATAATTGGATCCTCAGGCATGGGCAGGACGAGCATGTGCCTGCTGAATCTACATGGACTACTAACATCAATGACAATGCCTCACAACAAGATCATGTCCCTGACAATGGTACCTGGGCACAACAGAGGGAGGCATGGGCTGCACAGATGTGGCAAAACAGGGGGAATTTTAGGGTGTAGTGGCATGGTGTGTGTACTGTTTAGTAGCATTGAAGAAACTTGTATTTTAACTGGGACCTATGGCACTTTGCAATGATGTAGTACCTATTCCTTTTCTGCCTATTTGATCTGTTGAATTTGTATTTCATATCTACAATTTGTTTTCCTTACGTACTGGTTGTTCAATGTTATGGTGGTTGTGGATAGGAAATGGACAATATGCCTAACCAGATTATTAACATTGGTGGTGAGGATAATGTGGTGGAACAGGGTGGGGTAGTTGCTGCTGATGATGGCAACCAAGCAGCCCCTCAGCCCAATGGCCCTATGCACTGGAGTCATGTCCAGTCTGGGTTCATGCTTAGGAGGTTCCATGATTTGGTGGGGCAGGGGTCAAAACTGAGAAAGGGTTCAAGAAGGTACATGTTAGGCAGGTTGCACTCGTGGTCTCTGAGTTTGCTGGGGTCAATATGACCACCCAGCAGATTTACAATCACCTGAGAAAGTGGAGGCAAAGGTGGGTTAAGATTGCTAGGCTCAAGGATTTGAGTGGTGTTTTGTGGGATGAGGACCACCATATTATAGTACTTTATGATGAACACCTGCTTGGCCACACCAAGGTTAGAAACTGTTTGGATAACACCTCAGCTATCCCTTTTCTTTTCTTTTGCTCCCCTATGTCTAATCGTTACATCTGTTTCACTAATTAGGACCATCCTGCTGATGCTAAGTTCTTGAACACACCAATAGAGAACTATGTTTAGATGGAGACCATCTTTGGTGGTAACCAGGCCACAGGCAAGTATGCAATGGGCTCAGATGAGCCTCTGGGTACACCAACAGACATTGGCCAAGGTGATATTGATACCGTTGAGGACATCACTGACTTAGGTGGCATAGAGGCTGATTCTAGAAAGGGAACTCCTTCTGGTATGGAAGGCTCTAAGGGTTTTGATGCCAAGGGCCAGGAGGAAAGGGGTGGCAAGAGAAGGAAGCTTGCTCCAGAGGAAATAGACCTCATGAATGGAATGATCAAGGCTGTGGAGTCTGTAGGAGATGCTCTCAAGACTCCACCGCACAATGAGGTGCGTCAGGATCTTTATGGCTGTGTTATGGACTGCCCTGGGTACTCATAGGAGGCACTTATGTTTGCCCTGGTTTACCAGCTGAAGAACAAGGCTGATGGACTTTGCTTTGTTCAGATGACAAAGACTCATAGGATCCTATGGCTTAGGACCTACCTAAGCACAACATACTTTGCTTAGATGCATATGAGTTGGTCTCTCCACTTTTGCATATAGCCATGTTAACTGTCTTATGCTGTAGGAAGTATTTTGATGTGTAGCACTTATCTCAACTGATGCTACAAAGAACCATTTGCCGCCTAACCAAGGCTACACCTAGTTTGGAATAGCATATGAGCCATAGTGATGGATGTGAGGCTTTGTTGATCTGTGTGGTGTAGACATTAACAAAGGGTGATGGATTGTCACTTAGTTGATTTGAGCCCTAAAATACCTTGGATTGTCAGTTGATCTGAGATATTTCAGATGCTGTTATTGTTCTTGTAGGAGTTCCTATTTGGCCGATGATGCAAACTATAATAATCTGAGGTGGCTGTGGGTATTCTCCCTGTTGTTGCTTTATTGTCTTCTTGTGTTTTCTCATGTCTTTCATCAAACCATGGGATACCTCCATTCTCAAGCAACTGTTGTAGGCATGCCTACCGGATGGCTGGGATGGATGTGCCCCACGCTTTCATGGGAGTCATGAACTTGCCTTAGCAATTTGTATTCTTATTTGTCACCTGGGATGATTACAGTTTACATTAGCTGAAGCCTACGTTTTTTGTGCTTCTGATGTCAACCATTTTTTTGACTGAGGCTGATACAATTATGAAATACTTTTCATGCCTATGAAGATAACAGTGCCAATTTGAGTAATAGATTATGCACATTGATGACCTTGGATTTGTGAGGTACTAGAGCATTGCTTCTTCTATCTTGTGCTTATGCTTCTCATGGCTGTCATCAAACCATGTGAGACATCCATGCCCAAGCAATAGCTGGGCGGTTTTGATGATCTGATGGTTGGGTTGGATGTCTCTCATGATTTCATGCCTGTCATGATCTTGGTTTTCTACTATCTGTTTGAGATTTGTTGTTGTCTATATTTCTTAAGCTCCAAGTTCAAGGTCAAATTAAAAGGTAATTAAATATGAGGCAAATCGATTGAACTACCCCTCATCTTATCAAAATCTTATACTTACTTTTATGTGTTTTTTAAGGTGCAAATGGCTTGGTATGTTGTGTACCGTGGCAGAGTTCCTGGGGTATATGCAACCTGGGCTAGATGTAATGCCTAGGTAACTGGTTTTAAAAACAACAGCTACAAGAGATTCCCTAACAAAGAAGAGACAGAAGCATCATACTTAGAGTTCATGGGTTGTGAAGATGATAAAGTTTTTATCAATCCTCCACCAAAGGTGCTCAGGAACAAACCGGTGTTATTTGTTGTGGCTATGGTGCAGTCTTTTCTATTGTTGGTGCTCCTGTGGTTCGTTCTTGCTCGTTGCTACAACTGTCTGTGATGCTCAAAATGCCATGGCTTGGTATGTTGCCTATCGGGGAAAGGAGCCTGGGGTCTATGCCCTAAAA